TTTGGCATGCATGGGACATATCGGCCGAATTTCCTACTTCCAAACGCTTTGCAGTGTTTCAGAAGAGTTGTTCATCTGAAAACAGGGTCATTGCTCATTAATATGCTTCTGCGCAGTAGCTCAGCAACCAGGTCAAGAAGCTTTGAAAATTTATTTCTCAAATCGGACACAATTGGTCATGTGATCCGATTTTTATCACATGATTAAATTCCTATTTTTTTAATAAAAAAATCTTTCATAAACCAATAATTATTCCAAATTTTTTGTATAATTTTATGTAATATTATTTGATGTATAGAATGATTTATAAAATTATATTCTTTTAGTTAAATTCACTAATAGTATCAGAAATCGTTCGATCATAATCAATATAATAATATCTCCCAATCTTTGCGGAGTCAACAAATTAGCTTTTCTTAAAATCATTGTACAAGATTACACAAATAATAAAAAATAAAGGCTCAATTTCCATTTATAGTCATGCCCCTTAGTTGCTTATCATATTTTAAAAACCAACGTTAATCATCCACTTAGGGAACGAATTGTCCATCTCCTTAGGCCCTTCAGTCATATTATTCTTCTCCTTAGACCCTTCAGTCATCATATAATAATCGTTATTCCCCTTAGTCTCTTTAATCGTATCACCTGGTCTATAGTCATTGTCCAAGAAATACTTAACTAAATCCACATATAATTCTTTCGGTAATGCTTTTTTGTACGGTAAAACATTATTCAAAAATTCCCTGGAACTTAAATTGTAAAATCTGATAAATGGAATACATCGTTTTAAGGTATTCTTCAAAGCATTAAAATCATTTTTCGAATAGCTAGAAGGATCCGAAGAAAGATCTTGATTTTGAGCGAGTCCCCATTTAAGAACATGTTCCCAAACTTGAACAACACTCATAGAAAGTTTCACATTTTGAATGAGGGCAACTAGAGATTTTTCTGGAATTGAAGCAAAATCGACAGACCTAAAAATTTTTTCTGGCTCTTTAGACATTATATTGGTACAAAATTTTTGTAATTCCAAGAAAGAATCATATTTAAAACTTGTTTGATATATTAAGCTAAAATGCTTTTCTACCCAATTTACTTTATTTTCAATTAAAAATGATTGTATATGGGTGATTAATCCTTGAAGACTTAATTCATTGGCGGCAATCAAGATATTAATAATATCTGTAGTATCATATTCCTTCATAGAAAGTTTTGCGCCATAAATATATCTAAAAAAAAAAAAAAAAAAATTTGGTTGTAAAAATCTATGAAATTAATTATATCCATAAAAAAAAGTTATTATTATTTTGAGTTACCTCAATATTACGCGAAAACTTTCAGGTAAAATATTTGGTAATATAATGTGAGTCAAGGTTCCATCATTTTTTTTATTCGTGGATAGAATTCTTCGCAAATAAGGAGAACGGTAATATAAAATCATCATGTGAGCACGAAATACTTTTACATATGGATCACTTCCAACTTCAACTGTAACATCATAGAATTCATTATCCTCTAAACATTCAAGTAAATTTTGCGATAATTCCAATAAAAACTCATTATCAGCCATTATTATTTGATTTTTCTCGTTTGTAAATTATTTCTTAAATGAGAAAAAATTCTTGGAAATATAATCATAATTTTACGCCCGCCGCCCTTATGATGCAAAACGCAGTACAATAAACAGTAAATAAAAAGTCACATGATACTTGCAAAAAATTCCCCGTTTACAGTTATAATTCCGGTCAGTAAATTAATGTTCAATAAAATTCACCAAAGTTACTAATCTAATTGATCCTAGAATTAATTTATAATATTATATCACAGAAATTCAAGATGTGATCGAAACCATTTGGCCTACTATCTTTATAAATTTCTTTGGCTAGTATCGTAATATTAGATTAAACTAAAAGATATGTTTTAAAAAAGACAATCATATTAGGAAAATAAATTTAAACGACTTGAAATCAATCCAAAGTTCTAAATAATTCACTGGAAACCCTAAATTCGAAAGATTGCTGATAATAAGTTTTACAAAATTTATTTAGTTAACATGTAACCGCTGCTTTATAAATACAATTTAGTATACTTTTTGTGTTTGAAACCTAATGGTCATATTTATAAATAACTATCCTTTTGCTTTCACTGGTGTTTTGAATAAAAATCCATGTGTATAAATAATGAATATCTTTGGATGTATTAAGGATTATGCCAAATAAATTATCTTTAGCTGAAACAATGATTAATTGACAAAAGGATTTTTCCACATTGCTGCATACGAAAGACGTATTATAATAGTATAATTCAATGATGGTGATGGTTTAAAAAAGACAACATCATGGCGTCTAAAATTTGTAATTTCTCATCGGAAAGTAACGAACGATATGAATTTTATAGTAAAATATATATAAAAATTTGTTTAATATATTTTTATAAATAAATGATTTTTGTATTTACTGTATGTCCCTACAAGATAGGAATCATTTAGAGAAAAAATACAACTCAATTATTATCCTTAAAATGATATAAAATTTGAAATAATTTTATATAATACGATTGTATATATTTTTAAAATTTTCATATGTAAAAATTAGTTTTTAAAATTTTTATAATTTAAGTAGAACGCGCATCTTGATTTATGTTGTACCCCAAATGCGTTAAATGAGCATTCGGATATCCCAAATCGGAAAGTTCATTGAGATGCTCTATTTTTGTCAGTTTGATCATTCACTCTTCATTATCGTAATAGAATATCGTATCGAAAATCATTATTTGATTCTCTTCGGATAAGATTAACATTTAAAGCTTTTCCTATTAGTCCGGGCAAAAAAAATTTTTTTAGATTCTCGTGAAAAAAAATTTTAAAATTGACACGGCCGCTCGGTTTTTTTTTATATATAAATTTTTTTTTTTATTATTATTTTGTATTATGCAAATATTATACAAATAAATTAAATTGTTAAAATCCATCTGCAAATAATAATTGTACATGTTCTTAATTCTAAAACAGTATTTTAGCAAATTCAAGAACAGAAATGGAAAATGTTAAGCAAAATGAATTCTGTTAGTAATCAAACAGAAGTTTTTTATTATTCAAGTGGTTATTTGAAGAAAGTTGTTTCCAAGTTCAAATAACAAAAAAATAATATGTTAAATTTTTTATAATAAAGCATTGCCATTACGATTTTCATTATATAAAATCACGTGATATAAAATTTTACTTTAAAAAAAGATCATGAATTTTTTAGGTAGATAGATAAACTACAGTACAGTTGATCGTACCGTACAGTTTATATGTATACTCCCACTTTTACGATCATCACTAAAGTTTCAATGATTTCAAATTCATGCATCAATTTTTTTTCGTGAAAAATAAAAATTATAATAAAAAAAATTCGTTTTATAAAATTCTTAAAAAAAGATTACCTTTTTATAATAACTCTTCGAAAGACCTTAGAAAATTTAATTTATTTGAAAGAGAAGAAATTTTATTTTTTTTTAAAAAAAAAAAAAAAAAAACATCAAAAAGTATTCTGAAGACATTTATCCAATGATTTGCTTTGAAAAACATTTATATTAAAAAACAATCAATCTTTTTTATATGCGAGAAACAAAAAAATTCTCATCTGGCATACAAAAATCATTTCTGTACCTAAAAAAAAAAAAAAAAAATAAAAGAATTAATAAAGAAGGAACCAACTTCCGAAGGAAGCTCAAAGAACTCAAAGACTTACCTAACCTAACCAAGAAACAAAAGTTCCGTTCTTAAAACAAAAAGTACAAGGAATTATTAGCAAAGAACCCATCTCCGAACATCTGAAGAAACCCCCAAAGAACCCATCAAAAGAAAGACCAACCTATATCCAAAAGGACGAAGAAATGGTTCCTAAAATAAAGAAGAGAAAATTAGTATGAAAAAAAGAAACTCACCCTCCGATAAATCGAAAATTACTAATTTTTTTTTTAAATAATAAACTTACCAAAAAAAAAAGACCGAAAATTAATTAAAATTAAAAAAAAAAAAATAAAGCGGAAACCCTAAATTTAAGAACTTGTTTCACTTTTAATCTAATATCATCGAAAATTGAAATGATAAAAAAATTTCAAATTTGATAAAAAATTCTCAGAACATGATTAACACAACAATACTCTAATTTTAAAAAGGAAAATGAACTTCAAGATTCCATATTGATAGATTATCACATGGAACTGATTGCCTGATCGATCAATCCTAAATATTTAACCGGTATTGATGATATGCGGCTTGCCGATCATATATAAACTGAGAGAAATACTTGAAATACTTGGATTAAAAAGGACTCGTATAATTTTTTGAGGAGCACAATGTTTTTTAAAAAAGAAATTTTATCGCACGCAAATCTTTTTTACACAAATAATTATCTATGCAAATTTTTGCCATCTACCGAGCTTGAAACATGCTAAATTATGAATTAAATAAGGTGATTTTGATGAATCGGCCTAAATGTCAAAAAAAGTATAGTCACAATCATCTTTATCCTCTTTAGTAAAATTAATTAATTTTAATTAAATATATGATTTAATTTCTGGAATTCGCAATTATACTTACAGACTCAATTATGGTAAAGATCGACACTACGACTTTGTCAATGAAAAAGGGAAAAATCAATTTTACTTTTATATGCCAAAAACGATTTTTAGGCTAAAACATAACTCATTTCTTATTTTCCCGAAAGGTTCCAATATGATCAGCAACAGCTAACCGACATATTTCTAAGTCTTCCCTTTCTATTTTAAACATTTTCCTTTCTCCTTCCGGTTGTTTTGCTTTGCGATTTAGTTTAGTCAATCACATTTATTAAAATTTTAGATAAATACGTATCATCCTCAATTGAATTTTCATGCAAACTAAAAAAATTTTTACTCGAGAAAAAAAAAAAATATCACAATAAAAAGATTAATACACCTTCCAATTTTACGAATTACCACCCTGAAGGCTTCTTTGAAATCAATTAGAAATCATGATACTGACATCATTGGGCGTATCAGACGTTATAGGAATAATTATATTCTTTTACGTCGCAAAATTTTATTACAAGTATTTTACACGTCCGAATCCTTTACCTGGGTCTATCCCACTACCTATAATTGGAGATTTATTAGGATTAATTTATTATGCTAAAGGGGATTTTACAGAATGGTACAAGATACTACATCAAAGACATGGTGATATTTTCGAATCATATATGGGTGGTTTTCGAAGGGTAATAATAT